AGATACTTCACAAGAGACACATAATAATACACTATGTGAGTGAGAAATATCGAAGTAGAAAATACAGTACGTATAACCACAACTCAAGAAATACGTGGGACCCATGGGATCGTAGTCACTGATAACCACCATATTGGCTGACCAGTCTCAAGAGAGTGTGCATCGAAAAGAGCACTGTATCTGTATAACAAACAGTGAAACAACGTTAGAATAGTCAAATGTTACATTTACATTCGTCAAAGTTGCTTGCAAACCACGCATAACATAACCACTCGAAACCGCACATGGTAGTACCCACCTATGACAATCAAAACTCCAATTGACCGCCACTGTTCTAGCCAATGAAAGACGAGAAAACCAGAAGCGCGGTGAATTAAAAACGCGATAATGTATATCCTCATCCCTAGTCGTCGACAGCCTGCTTACGGCCGTAAGTCACTTATAAAAAAATAATGCTTTCACTCCTAACATCTACAAGCCTGCCCAGTTTCTTGTCAAGATGCTACTCCATGGGCCATACACAAGTTCGCCAGACATCCTACAGGTCACCATATTCAACAGGTTCTAATCCTTCAAGCCACTTTTATCTGAAATGTCACTTATATACTCCACGATAATCCTTCTACCTAATTACTAGTATACTCTATCTTATCTCAGCATCCTAGGACTTTAATAAAGCTGAAATTTAATTTTTTTTTCTTTTTGCTCATTTACACTCTTCTGTCGCAATAAGTTCGGTTGCTCTGATGATCAGAAAAACATAACAACACTCGTGGTTTGAGGATAACTATATTTTCGTAGAAAACGTCATAGTTTTCCACTGTAAGACCAATATGGTTAGCATCATGCATTGCAAATGTGCACTATCATATCAAGTACTGTATAGCTTATTCTTGTATCTTTCGTGTAAATATCCTTACAATAATGTATTATTCATGATTGTATTTTATACCAATTTATAGCTGTGCAGGATTTTCTCTTCCTGAAATGGCACTCAAGCACGTGGGTTCGCAGCAGTCACTCAGATATATGTTGTTTATCGATGAGCCATTACTATCATCAGGAAAGAAGTATGGGTTGTCATTCAACTTCTATGGAGACCTTCGTGAAAGATTTACAAATTAACAATTATAAGAATCTGTTCCGATTGCTTGTACTATAATTCAACAATTTGAACTTTTTAAAAGGTGATAATGTGTGCTAATTCACAATTGTAATTCGTAACATAATTGATCGTGCCTGTAAAAATGGCATGCGTTCCATGTAAACTTACCCGTTTAAACGAAATATATATTATTACTATATAATCAGTAAGGTACATCTGAGCTAACGTGCTATTTGCATTGACCAAACAATTATGAGTTTGGTAGTTTGTTAGTCACTCGGCATATTATAGAGAAGGATTCTTATACGCTGGCTTTGTGACCGGTTTGCACCGGATGGTCTTTTGGACACAGAGCACCTGTTGTTTGAGGCGAATTGCAATAGCCTCTGCTGTTTGGAGCATGCGGTTGTTGTTGTTGTCTTTTTGCTATAAATTCGACGATAATAATAGTTTTTATCTTTACACTTCCAAGTCTCACTCACACTATCTACTGACACCCACACCAAATTGCTGGCAAGACCACCGCTAACTCCACTCTCCTATTTTGTTGGGTATAAAATAGTCTATATATGCTTAAAAGTGTGTCTTGGCGGGCGAAATAATAACAGACGTTGAGAATGTGCACCAGAGGTGCGATGCAGCCACCAGGCAATCGTTTATTCTTAACTGTATTGCTTAAGACTCTCTTCTCTGACCTCCAAGAGTATTGATAAATCACATCCGCTTTAAAGTTAAAATGTTTCAGGCTGCATTTGACACACGAGTTTCCCTGTTCCTTTGAGAACTCAAAGCCAAAGTTACTTGATTAAGCATATGTGTCTTTCGGTGCAGTGGTATTTTCCCTAGTTACGTAGGTAGCTTGGTGCAGCGACCGAAACCCAGGTATCTTTAATCTTATGCAGGAAGCCAGTTGTATTCTTTTGTGTAGACAGCCGAATTTCTCCGAGTAAGGCACTGAATTTACGACGTTGAAACAGTTTATCATGCTGTGTGAGTACTAGCTGACCGTGCATAAAACATGGAAGTGTGGACAGTTGTGCAGAAGAACCAAAATTAGCATCCGAGGCTTGCAGTGAAATACCTATGCTTATGTTTCCGCACTATTAAAAATTGCCTTCAGGCATCTATACGATACAAAGGTCCCTCAGGAATAAAATACTTGTAGAAAAACCTAGATCAAGCCCCCCATTACAAAGAGCAAACCAAGTTAGGACATGTCTGCAAAAACAGCCGAATTTAGGGAAGCCAACAGGCTGCGTCAACCTGAAAACCAGCAAAAATGTCACATTCGCAAATGTATTAATCATGATCAACGGTTCAGCAAGGTGCTAAAATAAAGTGAGGCATTAGAGATACAGAAAAGCAGAAGAGGCAGATCAATAGGCCTGGGCAAAAACGTGGATATTCGAAATCTAAATAAATATGTAGATCGGAGGGGAAGAATTATGACTGAAAAATCAATTCCCATTTTCGGATAAATACTAGTAGTAGGATCGTATTCTCGACTGTGTGTGATTGAAAATAGTGGGGCTGTTAGGCTTTTAAAAGGGCAGAAGTCAATTATCATGAGGTACAGAGAAAGACTGAACAAGAATAGAATGTTTGATCTCAGATAGGACATCAGCACATCATCTATATATGTTTAGATTTTCAAAATAAAAAGACTGAAGAAATATAGCCTCAATAAAAAATTATACGTCTACTCGGCATGAGAAGTAATTCAAAGCGGAGGAATAACCGAAGCATTTGAAGACACAGCATAAGTATGACAAGTCTAACTACTGTCACGGATGATCGCCCTGGTTGTGAAGGACTGGATTATGCGACAAATTGTGGGAAGTGAGATGATAGGTAGGCGTTTTTTTGATGGAGAGACTAGAAGGTCCGGATCTCGCGAATGTGATTTGTGTTTTGTGTCGTAAAAACTTAAGGTCATAGAAGCGAAAATTAGCAGGTTTTCCGAAGAGGCGAAAACAGGATTTCAGCTGAACATTGAGAAGACATGGGTGATGAGCATACCGAACCAGCAACAAAGCACTGTCGTTGCTATCAATGGCGTGGAGGTTACATCTGCGGTGGACAGAGATGAGAATGTGAAAGGCAGTCCGGATCAGCTCGAGAAAGTAAGACAGACGTCCAAAACTTGAATATCAGTTCACAGACATTCAGCACTAGCGTGACAATATGATCAAATTAACGGTTAAAGCGACAAATGAATATCTCTTTATGGTTCAGATAGTTGTCGTGTGCGTAACCCAAAAGCGTTCCCAGAGGAAACGTAAGGTCGTCCAGGTCTAGGTATATAATGCTTTTGCCACTCAGTCATTTACTATTTTGTTCATCTTCTTCCCTAGGTGGCGAATCGAAAGACATGATAGTTGATCAGATTTTCAAAGGATGGTGATACAGTGGCTGGGTTGGGATGTGATTGTATATCTCTGTCGTCGTTAATACACGCGCCTTTGAGCTACCGTAAGTGTAATATTCCCTCTCCACTAGTTGGGGCGCCATTAGAAGCGGCGCGGTCACCAAGTTAGGTGTGTCAGGCTAGAGAGTCAGCAGGTAGCGTCGCCGAAGCTCAGGTTTATACAGGACGGCCGGCTACATGGCAGTCGTGAGAGTTATTTCTAGTTGAAGGCAACCGGGAACGAGATCGAATTCGTTCGGTCGGCTTAGCTAACTGGTGTCCTGGAAGACACCTTGCAAATCAGATTTTTGAATGCCGCTTCTGAATATGTCACCAATTGAATATTACCTACTAATATTTCGCTTAAGCATCTATGTGTGACGTAACAAACTTCATTTACTAAGCTTTCTACCACGTTAACACCCACTACCTTCATTTATATCCTGTGATCTATCGAGAGTTTGGTTGTGAAGAAACTGAAACAGCTTGTTTGAGCAGCACTGAGTTGTCACTGCAGATAAGGCACTAAGATTGATACGGCCATAATATAGAGCGAATTTATGGTTATCATTCGACAGTAAAGACTGAACATCCGCCAACCAAACAACCATCGGTGAATGGCGATATAGGTCGGTTGTCGTTCAAGATTCTCTCCCTTTAAGAAAATTTCTCATATGGAAAGAAAAGATTGTAGGACATAGAGGTATGACTTTTTAGACAGCATTTATTTTATTACCACTGTGACTCATACATTTGAAAATTTCTACTGGTAGGGGAAAACACGGTTGATCACATGACGAGAAGTTCGTCAGTGCAGCTGTCAATATCTTAGTGATTTCATTTTTGGTTTTGATATCAGCACTTTGAATAGGGCGTCAGAATAGCCCTAAGAATGTGACTAGCCGCCGATATGACAAAAATCTTATCTGGCCATGCGCACATTTTTAGGCTGACTCAGCAGTGTTACTTACACCTCCACATCCTCGTGTCTTCCTGTTTCATCTTCACAATCACCTTGTCACTAAAAAGAGCCGTTTTAAGGCTAAGAAACCGAGATGATAGTCTGGCTTAGTGGGCATCAAAGGTTTAAGGGTAAATGTACTAAGAGTACACAGATAGTCGCCTTTCCATGAACCTATTACACTCTGCATTTAATCAGCCTGATCTGTAACAGGGAGTAAGGCATGTTTCCAGACAGTCACTGGATCTTCATAAAGATGTGAGTCTCTATTCTGTAGTCTACAGCTGAAATAACCAAGAATGGATAGTGTGAAATGAAACAAAGAGATAGCTCAAGACTCAAATGTAAGGAAGCATAGAGGTTTCCGTAAATTTTTCCCGAACATATCAATCCACACTTGATGAAAGGCTTACCGTTACTAGCTACAAAAGTACATACTGGGACGAATGGTTATTACAGATGTTTTTGCGAAATTTTTCTTTGAACATTTTTTCAACCGATTGTTTGTATGTGTACAATGGGTGGGCGCGCACAATTCGAAGTTTCAGTCACGAGGCAGCAGGATGACCAACACAAAGGGTTACCGCCGGGGGACACGTTACCTATTCTCTCGTGCCTTCAGACGTCATGGGCCGCTTCCTTCATCCGTTTTTATGCGGGTGTACCGCCGTGGAGACATAGTGGATATTAAAGGCGATGGCGGGGTCCAAAAGGGTATGCCACACAAATCCTATCACGGGAAAACCGGTCGTGTATATAACGTCACTCCTCACGCTGTTGGAGTGATTGTTAACAAGCGTGTGGGGTAGGTGTTGCACATTTCTGTAACCTTCGCAGTAATCGGATAATTCCAAAACGCATTAATGTGAGAATTGAGCATGTCAAGCCAAGCAAATGTAGAGAAGACTTCCTCAGACGTGTCAAAGAAAATGACGTCAAGAGACGAGAAGCTAAAGAAAAGAAGACATTTATAAATCTGAAGCGTCAGGTAAGGTTTTCTGTTTCTCTATAGTTCTGTCTTAGCCTGCACAACCCCGCCCGGCTCATATTGTGAGAACTAAAAACAATCCAGTCGTAACTGTACACCCATTACCATATGAACTTATTGCTTAAAACGAATAAATGTCGATTGGTCTGTGAATATCTTATTGAATTCTCTGTTGTTTTTCAAGTTGCAAGGTAATTTCACTGTTCGATATGTCTAATAGTTCGGTATATTACGAAGCAGTTCATTCTTGTTATGAGCACATGGCGTGTCTTACATTTTCCCTTTGAATAGTGTTTATTGAAAACCAATGTTTAGGTTTGTAGACCGAATTATGTGCGCTAAACAGTTTTCGGAAATATAAGTTAGTAATGTTATAAATAGCGCTACCATGATGTTTCGATAACCGCATATATAATAACCGTTCATCAAAGTGGTAGGTGTATTGTCAACAGTCCGATGTTGCGTTATATTACTGTTAGTTTCACTATCAAGTAACCACGTTTGAGACCTACACATAGCTCCTAGTAGGTATTTTGAGTCTGTACAAATTGTTCCTTATATCCTATGTTCCCCTTGGTTATTTTGGTTTTATTCACTGATATAGATAGTGTTGGGTCATCATTGGTGTGCGTGGTTGTTTTGAAGTTTAGTGCAAATGCCAGCCTGACACTAGCTATAAATTTTGGTTTACGGAGGTGAGCGTAAATTTACGATTAATTAGTTGTTGGATCTTACATTGGTTTCTGCCGGAGGAGGGTTCTTGCTAGGGTATTATAACATCTTATTCCGTGAAATAACTCCTATTAAGTTCAAAGCGAATTTCAGCGTTGTAGTGGCCACCGTGTGTCTGGTTATAGGTATCTTCGGAACCCCCTTGGGCTATAAATGAGTAGAATATTTTTTGACTCTTATTACCCATAGTAAAACTTGTGTAACCACCGATAGCTTGCAGTCCTTTCAGCATGGTTGATATCGGCAATCCGACGCTTAGATGTGTTCGAAGAACATCTCTGAGATGTTCGCACTTAGATGAGCCTACTGCATGAGAAACAAACATGTTGTTATACAGTTGCCATGTCTATTATTTATTCAATTCTACTTCGCTCATGATATTTCTTATTGTATTAGAGGGATAACAAGATCACATGTTATATTGCGTTGTTTTATATATTTTTTCGAGCCCCTAGTACTACTTGATTATCTCATCCTCATGTGAGTGACCTAGTATTAACCTGGTTTGGAGTAGGGATGTACATATGTGGAAAAATTGTTAAGTTAATTTCAAATCCACATGTTTGGGAAATATCAACTTTCAATCTTATGTTCGGATCCAGATAAGCATGTTCTTCTTCCCTTGCCTCTATCTTCTTAGAATCCAGTTATCTGTATGTACACGCGTGGTTACTGTTGTGTAAAGAATTCCACCGTAGTTAATATTCCTTAAGAGTGCCTCCAATTTCTTTCAGATTGTGGGGCTCTTGAGTACGGTTTTGATGTCAGTAGCCAGATAATTATAGCCACCTGGGATTAAAAGATCTGTTGCCTAATTGATAATAAATAAATCAGACAAGTGGTATCATATTACGACATACAAAATTCTATGTTACTAGGGTCTAAGGCGTTTCTTCGAACTCAGTTATCCGGAGTGAGTTTCTCATGAATGAGTTTATGAAGATTTATGTCGCCATGCAGTCGCCCAAGTTGAGGTAAGTGGATTGAGATTCTAAATCAAGAACCACCAGTTGGTAGTCAATTGCCGAAGCCAATAAGCTGATGTATATCTAAACTTGACACGAACCTAACATACAAAACTGAACTTCGTATTTTCGTACAGCGCAGCTTTTACCTTCTAGTATAATAATTTGCACACACTAACTTGTCAACTGCTTCAGCACTATGGGGTAAAGCGAACATGTATAGACTTCATTCAACAACTATATGAGATAGCGACATGGATTATTTAAGGGGGGAAGTTCACCGAAGCGTTTGAAGTTACAGCAGAGGTAGGATGAGATTACCTACTGTAACCGATGATCGTCCTGATTGTGAAGGACTGCATCATGCGACAAATCGCGAGGAGTGAGCCGATGGGTAGGCGTTCTACGGGAAAAGAGGTAGGTGGTAATACATTGCGAATCGACTCATTTTTGAGATTCATAAGCCACTTAATGCAGAAGTTGTAGTCTGACCGTAAAATGATTTTGTCGTAACCTTTTGATGTTGTGTTTGATGCCTGGCGTTGTCATGAGTGCGTGCCGGGAGAAATCCGATGTTACTTAGTTGCCTCAGTCGGTTTACGACATAGAACTTTGCACTTAGTTTCCTCAATTTCAGTAATAAAATTATGTCGTATCTAGTGTTTTCGTATTGTGTTGAAGAACATTTATGTCTGTACATGTCAGGGAAGTCAATATATGTGGATTGATTTTTGTCACTTGTAGTTGTCAGATCCTTCAGAATAAAGAAAAGTATTAGGGTGTGGGTTGTTAATCTGTCCCCTCTTGATTGTAGTTTAATCTAATTTGAAAGTATGATCAGAATTTTGAGGGAGTAAATGATTAGCTATACGAATACCTAAGATTACTCATTCGCCTTTAAATTAACTCTCGCGTTGAGGCACTAGATGATTTTAAGCGAGTAAAGTTGAAGTTGACTCCCAACTAACTTCATACATCATTTCTTGTTTTCGAGAGTGTATTGCTTCATTCTTATGTTAGCTGCGTGTTATTGACCCAGGTAAGCACATTAGGTATCTCGAATTTTCAGTCAAGTGCTAAAAACTTGGATGGTCATTTATTACCAGTGAAATTGAAAATTTATCTGAGACCTATTGCGAAATATTTCTTTGCGATGCATGTCCACAAGCGGAAGTTTGCAGTGTCCCACATTGGTACTGTCTGATACAGACCACTAACGTAGCTATGAAATGAGAAGTTTGGGAGTAGTGTTAGGTAAAGAGGTTGGTCAGCTGATGGATTTTTAAATTAGGATTGTATTATTGAAATTCGCTTAAACGCCGTCAAAAATTATGTTTTGCAGATGCACGACTGGACTTCAGATTCCTGGAGATGGTCGGCATAAATATTAGCACCAAATCATGAAGCCATTGTCTTTTGGTCTGTTTCACGCATATTTAGTGATATGGCTCATAACAGATTACAGTTTCGTCGTATCTCAATATCTCATCTTCTTATTTGCATCACCTTTTCTTATTATCCTGTTTATCACCACATTATTTTCATCTGCATGTCTTTATTCTTATTGCCTGCTTCCCATGTAGGTATGAGGCGTGGTGAGAAGAATCACTAGACAGTATGGCTAGGTCTTACGTTTGCAATGTGTATTTGTTTTGTTGTAATGAGTCCACTATTGTTTCATTTATCATTGGCCGAGTAAAGAGGCTTTCAGAAACAAGGGCATAACTTCAAGGTTCATCATCCCCATCAGACATTTGTATGTTAAATTCAATTGAAGAAACAGAAAATTAATATGTTAAACTTTCCGAACCTTTTCATCAAATAATAGCTACCTTCCATAAATTCATCTTCATTCATTTGAGTTTATAATATGTAGGCGAAGAATGTATATTTACGAAATAGTCTTCGGATGTATCAAATACATTTGTCTGTCTGGTCTTATGTTTCAATCAAAATATGTTGCTAAAATTTGCACCGGATGACATTGTTTTGAGACTGAAATGGAACATAAGTTTCCTGGAGGTTTCGGACACAACTTATTATGAGTCCTGGATACGGGTTTCCTTCTAACTGACTTACGACATCAGGCACAGAGGATGTCCTCGTGTACTAAGATCAGTGTGTTTTGAAATAAGTGAATAATTATGAAGTAGATAGTGTTCTTTTGGTATTAAGTCAATGCACATATGCAGTTAGATGGTTGATGTATTTCTCCTTTTGATATCATTTACGATACGATAAAACACTTCTACAACTGTTTGGTTAAAGAATTCTACATCTCTTAATTTGGGTTCAGTCACTTCGTACTCTACATAAGGCAAACAGATGACTCCTTCACTTGTTTCATCTTTTTGGTGTAGTACATTCACAAAAAGCAAAAATATTTCTGCGTTATTTTATTTTTCTATGCATTTCGCTGCACTAATTTAATCGTCATACATCTTATACGTATCAGGTGAACGAGTGACCTCATCTAAGTGAGTAGAGAAATATGCCGTGGGTCCGTATAATTTTAGTATTGAAAATAAACTCGTAATTAAAATGTTTGAAGTGAAACCAATAAAATTCAGAGAAATATCCCTTTGGATAACTCATACTTCAAAGAGTTGCATATTTCTTAGTTCATGTTTCCCAATTTAATAGTCTCAACACACTTGCATTTCGGTGTGTATTTTATCAATGAAGATCAGTGCTGTTTTCGAAGTACTTTCAGGTAATTAGCTGATAGCGTTAGTGATAAACTTCTTGTGACTAGTTGTTTGCATTGCATGTTATTAAAAGTGAGAGAAATACTGTTAGAATAGGGACAGTTGTCTGTATTGCCATTATGTTTGGTGGTTTAGCACATGCTCCTACTATTGCCTTTCAACAGAAGTGAATTCTTCACTGTTAGGCTTTTTAATCACTTCAGTTTGTATGAAAGACAAATATCTATCGCCTTATTTTACTTCATCTATGCCATATACCAACTGGTTCATTAATAGCCATAGTGCAGTTCACATTTTTTCTACCGAGCTGATAAGGTCGGAACTCATTATAGGGACGTTTTCTGCCTTAAAGAAAGAATTGGTAGTTAAACATTTTGCGTTTCTGTGTGTTTACATTTCATGAATTCATACAACGAGTTAGTCCCAATTTCAATAAAGCAGCGGGAGTATTAGTAACTGTGATCCTGGTGAGTTTTTGACCCCTGAGGAAGTACCAAAGTGAAGTGATAGAATATGTTGACCACTTCACCTATTTGGGAAGTTGTATCAGCACCAACGGATTGATTGGTGACGAAATCTCAGCACGGATCCAAAAAGCTCGAGCTGCTTTCGCTAACTTACGCCATCTCTGGCGTAGGCGTGATATCCGGCTGTCAACCAAGGGACGTGTGTACTGCTCAGCAGTTCGCTCCGTCCTTCTCTATGGCTCTGAAACATGGC